GAGGCGTGTAAAAAAGTGTCAAGAACATCATCTTTGCATCCAGAAAACCAAGGTAGGTCCTACACTGACGTTGCCCTCCAAGGCCATTACCACCACATAGGGACACTTGATAATAGGTAAGAAAAACAGCTAAGTTGCAGTTTACCTCCAAGAAAAACCCTCCTTAAATGCACGCAGGCAGCCCGACTGCTCAGTTTGGGGCAGCCAGGTGGGTTTTGTGAATGTTTTGCCACCTCCACCAGCATTAGGTGGAGCACTCGTAGCTCCCTGCTGAGCACAGGCGCCTGCGCACTCCCAAGCACAAACATGGGGGCTTCACAGCCCAACTTAAGTACTTTTTAAAAGCACGACCACTTCAGCAGCATGCAGAAGAGAAGCCTTGCCACTGAAGTGCCACCTTCAGATAACAAGGAGCATGCAGGGCCCAGCACCAAAGACCAGCACAGCCCCAGGGATCTCCGGTTGGGAATAACACAGACGCTTAATGCCGCACAAGCGAGACAATAGCTCATCCTCAGCCCCCTGCCCTCAAGCCCACAAACCCAGATAACCTCTACAACCACAAAATCATCGTGTTACTAAACCTGTGCAAAAGTCCAACATCTCAGTCTCCAGGTGAGCTCAGGCGCGTCTGCCCAGAGCACAGCTCCCACCAGCGAGCAGCAAAGCTCTCTACTGCTCCACCAGCCCCAGCGCAGCTCAGGAAACCCTCCACAAAGAGCCCCCACCTTCCCCAGAGCCAGCTCCAGCAAGGCAGGAGCCCCTCCAGGTGCAGCCACTTTATAGCGGCAGTTGGCCCTGAAGAAGGTTTAACAGGGACTAGTTTCCTGGTGGGGAAGTAAACATGGTTCTGCAGTGTTTGATGCTTTTGACCTGCTTGGGATAGGAGGAGTTTGACTCTCCAGCTCCCCGTGAGAAGGTGGAAGGAAACCATGCGAGTGTCTTGAGTTTTGTTGTCTAACTCAATTAACCAATTACTTCCAGGTCAAGAAGGGGCAAAGCTATAAATGCTGCTTGCTGCTATAAATAATGTTTGCTCAAGGGTGGTGTGGGAGCAGGGAGTGTTAGGTGTGGGGTTGTAACTTGGGCTTGAAATGAAAGCAAGTATCACAAATTGCTTCCTGCTTCGAGCAAACCTGTCACTATTTTGTTGTTGCCCCTTGGAGGCTGAAGTGAACTGGTGTGCAGAGCTGTCCCATGCCTTGGGAAATGCATGCAGGAATTCAGGTTAGAGAATGAATACAGAAACATCCCTCCTGTGCTGCAAAACTTTCCTCCAGATACTGGAGGAAAGTACACCAGACACTCCACTGAGTGTCCTAGTGTAGGACCTGCTGTGGAGAGCTGGACCAGCTGGATGGGTCTGCCTTTGAAATACAATTATTGGACCAAAATGGCCATTTATGTAAAAAAGGAGGAGGGGAAATAAGCCTAGGAGAAATTGAATGAGTTTCTTAAAGCACAAATGAGAACAGACGCGTTGGCTGGTACAGATCAAGGCAGGAATTTTCCGCGGGGCCTTAGGGAATTGGTCTCTGGTGAAAAGGTAAATGGAGCGGAGAGCGGGTGGTGGGTCGGCAGCATGCTCCCTCGGGGGGGCCCAGGCTGGCCGCAGCACGGGCGCAGGGAGCACGGCCTGGCCATGGGGTGCTCCAGCTGCTGGGATGTGGATGTTTGCCTGTGGAGCTGCTCTGTGTCTGCTCTCCTAATGGCATCGCATGAGGTTTTTCTAGGGCACAAACCAGAGAGACGTCACCTCACCCGGGACCTCAGCTCCTAAAAGAGCAGAACCAGTGTCAGGGAAGGCACTAATTGGCGTTAAGGGACGGGTTCTTCCCAAGGGGCAAATTAGCCCACTGAAACATTAATGAGTCCCTGGAACCATGTGAAATGGAGCGATGGCAACGAGGCATCTCAGCTCAAACTGTCGTACCGGCGTCTGGCCGGGCTGCACCGGGGCTCTGTGTGCTGCTGCTGCTGGGCTGGCCCCGGCAGGGCTCACGGAAACCCGTCTGCAGAGAGACCGGGGGTGCTGGAGCTCGGCTGGCTGCGGGTCTCATGGGCGCTGTGTCCCGTCCCCCCCCAGCAGATCCTGCTCGGCGCTTGGGCAGGTACCCTGCAGGTGCTGGAGGTGGCGGGTGGGAAGCCCACCTCGCCGTCAAGTCGTGCCCCACCGAGCAGCGCTGCTTTTGCCTCCTGCTCATCTGGACTTTGCTGTTTGCTTACAGGGAACCTCCCTGGTGCGAAGCAGTGACCACTGAGCCCCGGGCCCCACCTCACTCCCTGCTGCCCTACATTTCCCTTCCAAGCAGGGGAACGCGGCCCTTTCTGTCCCTGCTGTCCCTCCGGCTGCGGGCGCCGCTTCTCCCAGCCGACGAGAAGCCGACCCATCACCCTGTCTAACCGCCTCTCTGCTCCGCTCGCTCGGGAACAGCTGCTGGAGTGAATCATTTCAGCATCCTCAAAGTGCGGAGGACTCTGCCAAGCTTCGTGTGGCTTCTGGCTGTCACTCTGTTCCATTTGTGTTTCTCCCTGGCCATTTTAGATCCCGCAGCCTTTCCTGTGGTCCCCGATGACCCTCGCACGAGCAGGTGGGTGCTCTCACCGCAGAGGTGCAGAGCTGACCTCGGAGGCTTTTGGACTCCCTTGGGTGTTTTTGCCGTTACCATCCTGCCCACGTACGCAGAATCGTGAGTCATTTTGCTGTCCCGTCCCCTCGCTGCCAGCCTGCGAATCGGGGACCATTTGCAGAGAGGGAATGGCAGGATCCAGTGAAGTTCACAGAACGCCCTGGCACCAGCAGCCCTTTGGGGGAGAGCGTGTCCCCCGTTTCTTGCTGCTGCTGGAACACCTCCTCTCCGTTACTGCCACGTGGCAAGTGCCAAGGCAGAGCTTTGTCCTAAAGCACACTCTGATGCCACTCCAGCACCCAACATAGCACCAGCAGAGACAGTAAAACCCTTTTGCTCTTCATTGGGGAGGGGGTGTGTGTGTCTGTTTCCATCATGATTTAAAAAATAAGTCTATTTTAAGGATTTTAATCCTAGCAGGAGCTTGGCCAACCTCAGCTGTCCAGTGCTTGGGGGAAGTTTTCTGCTTGCTGCAACCTACTGTGGTGATACTGAGTCATCAGCCACAAAGCTGACCTGTTGTTCGAGTCGCAGATGTCAAAACTTGACCGCAGGCTGGAGAGGTCTGAGCACCGCTGTGTTTTCCAGGCACTCGGGTGCCCAGATGACGGGTAAGGAAGAGTGACGGAGCAGCCTTCGCTGGGCCTTTTCCCTTCACCACGAGCGGGCTCAAGCCACACCAGTGCGGCTTCTGCCCTTGCGGCCCCACCGTGGCAGTCCCTCATGGGAGGGTGCCGTCAGCCTGGAGGAAGCCCGGCAGACCTACAGCAGCGAATAAACACCCAGATGGACACTGCAGGGTGCCTTGCCACCAAAGATGATTTTAAGAGAAGCTGGAGGGCAGTCAAGGACTGGGGGTAATTTGGTTTAACACAAAAGTATTCAACAACCCTTGCTTTTTCTGCATGAGCTGCTCGCTTCTCGTGAGCTAGAGATAATCACCCTGCCTTATCTGCACACATCAGCTCAGCTGAACCAAACTTCCCCCCAACCCAAACATGACAAAGAGTTCGTCTGGACAGCTTTGCCTTCGAGTTAAATAGCAGAAGACTCCAAAAAGAGTAAGTCGCATGTTTTATCGTTCCCCTTGCCCTCTCCTCCCTCCACTTCCAGTTGAATACACAAACAAAAATACTGCACGCTGTTTTAATTTTCAATCACATTTTTTGAAAATCAATTCCAAGATACAGTACAGCATCTTAGTGTTCTACACAAAGCAAGCTTTCAGCAAAAGGTCAGAGGATCTTAAATGGTGTAAAAATAGATCTTAAATAAAATAGTTTCTATAGGAGAGCAAGCTGTGTTCTACATCTCTAGGTCCTTAGAATAATTTACAGAAGGCAGAGGCCTGGTTGTACAATCCACACACTAGAAAAGAGTTAGTGTACATTCATGCTACAAAGTTAGAAAAGGTAGAAGTTCCAGATGATTGGGGCAGATCCCCAAACCCAAGCAGTGGATGCAGTGAGTGCACGAACAAGCACTCTGTATTTCCAAGTGAGGAAGTTCAATGCTTCCAGTTCATGAAGTCAGGAAGCAGCTTATAACAACTCGCCTTCCCGAGAGTCATTCTATTTTTTCTAACTCGTTCCTTTCACTAGGCCAAAAAGAACAACTTCTAGCAATAAAGGACTAGCTGTTTTATTTCTTTGTTCCAGTTTGGAGCTGGCTGAAGTCAAGAGCTGTATTTTCAGTGTTACAGACTAAGATCATGGCTGTTCCTGCAGTTTGAACAACGGAAAAAGGAACATAGTATGGCCTGAATAGACAACTGTGGGATTCCCCCAGCCATTTTTAATAAAGGATTAGCCTTTAAATGCTCAGATTGCTGAGCGCAACACAGCAACCAGGACAGTCACTTCTGCAGCCAGGGTAAAACTCTTCCCACTCCAGAGCAGCAAGCCTGGTATATACTCTAAGTGAAAATCAACAAAAAGAAACCACCCAGATTGTCCTCAAAATTTCCCTTACGGGACCTGTGTACCTTTAGGGCAAAGAACACGAAAAGTTTTGCCAGCCAAGATTCTGGCCAGAGACATGTTTTGGAGCAGAATGGGCGGCGCTCTGTGATCACGGTAAGCGGATACAACAGCCGCATCTAAGCGGCGAGAGTCCAGTCGCAGGGCTCCGCCGCAGACCCGAGCGCAGCAGCACTGCAGCTATGGCAAAGGCTGGGTACAGGCGTGTAGCAAGCGAGGTTTTCAAAACGCTGCGTTAGGCATTCTCCTCACCTCGTTTTACGGCTAGCAGCACTGCAGCTCATGCCAACACACCCCTCGTGCAGCTCATGGAGGGAACGCATACGCACCGCGCTCCGGGAGGATGGGAACGCTGTGGCAGCCGTTAGTAGGCAACGCATACCAGTCTTTGCAAAGATAGCTCAATTTGATTTGTAGACGTGCCTGTAAAATAACCATGTTAAACAGTTTCCAGAATATAAAACTCTTCATGCTTTCTGCCCCAAAAGGCAGCAAGCGCTGGCCTTTCAACGGCCATCTTTAAAATGAAGAAACAGATAGTAGCAAAAGTAAGTCCCTTTAAAGCGTTTAATATCCCAGATTACAAGCCTTTAGGACTCATTTAACTTCTTACACCACTAAGATGGTTTATTTTCCACACCTCACTCCTTTTTATTTCCAAACTATAGTTCTACTCCTTGCACTAGCAGTTCTGCAGTGTCAGGACTGCACATAGTAAAAGGAGATGTATATAATCTAATTTACACTGTTTCTTAAATAAATTAATTTCTTAACTGAGAATACTTTTAATCCAGGAGGAGAACTGGAGAAGCCTTGCACTCTGGGCCTAGCCTACTCTATAGCATCCCCTTAGGAATGCGATGTTTAACACATACACACCCACCCACCCCAAAACAGTACACTCTCCAAGAAGAAAGTCAAATGCATGATAGGAGGGGCTTTGAAAAGGTAGGAAGGCAAAATGATCATTAAGATCTGCCTAAAAATAGCTAAATAGTGCAGTGAAATGCTTTTAAATACCACAGACACCTCCGCTGACTGGCAGCCAGTTTTACGAGCAGCTCTGAAGACAATTTCTAGCTGAGCTTTAGTGAACTGGGCATTCCCAGCCGGAGTCCCGAGAGGTGAGCCTGGCCTACCACCAGTTTCAGGGTAGGAGCAGGGTGTTCCGATTTTCATTTGCCCCTCTTGCCACGGCCTCTCCTGGAAGAAGGTTTGCCCGTGCCCCCCGCAGCGGAGCTGGCAGAAGATGCCACTGCAATGTTGATCTGTCCTTCCTGAATCTCCTGTCGGGTCTCAGCTGGGAGGTGATTGATTTTCTGTTGTGTCTCTAAGTAGAACATGACATCCCGCAACTGCTCCTGGATCTCGGAGATCTGCATGTCCTTCTGTTCGCAGGTTTCCTTTAACACTCTCTCCTCCTCCTTTAGTTTATTCTGAAGCAAGGCTTGATTCGCTCGCAGACACTTATTCAGTTCTTGCTCCTCTTTCAGCTCGTTGGAAAGTTTAGCCACTTTGTTATTCAGCTGAGAACACCTTATAAATAGAAGCACATGTCAGGAACGCAGTGCACTGCCCCACCAAGACCACCTGGAACTTGGTTTTCTGGCAAAAGATCACAGAATCACTAAGGTTGGAAAGGACCTTCAAGATCATCAAGTCCAACCGTTAACCCAACGCCACCATGTCCCCTAAACCATGTCCCGAAGCACCACGTCCCCACGTGTTTTGAACACTTCCAGAGATGGTGACTCCCCCCCCTCCCTGGGCAGCCTGTGCCAATGCTTGACCACTCTCTCGGTGAAGAAATTTTTCCTAATATCCAATCTAAACCTCCCCGGCACAACTTGAGGCCATTTCCTCTTGTCCTGTCGCTGGTTACTTGGGAGAAGAAATCAACACCCATGTCAAAAAACAGATGGGAAAGGGGAGGCGACACAGGAGGACTCTGAAGTGCCCCCAGGATCTTCTACCCAGCTTAAGGCTTGGTAGCACCTGCTTGTCTGTATGGTGTTACCTGCATATGGAATAGGATGTTGTGAAGCAGAGCTCCTTCCCTTCCTTTTTCCCCTCCAACTGCATCACCCAGCTGGAGAATTCTTTCTCTTGCAAGTTGGGCAATTCCATCTTGCACCAATGGCCAGAGGCAACAGACATAGCGTATGTGTAAGCATGGGACTGTAGGCCGGAACACACATCTGCAACTTTTGGAATAGGCGCCAAAAAGGGCAGAGATCTGGGGTCCTTAGCGAGCTGAGGACAATCAAGGACTCCCAGATGCTGGCTCTCGCCACACTCCGAGTACAAGACTCGGAAGATACCACGGCACTCGGAAGCAAGATGCTCCCACAAGGATATCAGTATGTTTCATGTTTCACAGACAGTGCTTCCCTGCTCCTAACAACTCAGTGCTTTTACCCTCAGAGTTTGCTGGCATCATACAGAGATTCCTTTCCACCCATCAAGGTGAGCTGCATGAACCACAGCTCACTAGCCTGGGTTCCCTGCTGCAAGCAGGACTGCTGGAGAGGCAGCAGCGCCAGGGGTTAGAGGAATAGAGCATGCAGTCCCACCTAGGGAGCTGCACCACACTGATCTGCACAGCCCCCACGCTTGATGTCTTTTATCTAGGCATTTCCCAAGATCTACATTTTTCTCTGTGCTGGGTGAGATGCCTCTGTTGAGCTGCCTTTCTTCTCTTTGGATGTATCCGCCAACTGCAAAACAGACTGGCGTCTACTTCCGAGCAGGCAGAGGAAGGATTACTGAATGCTAAATACACAGACCACATAAAAAAAAAAATCCGAGCCCAAAAGCTGTGTTCCGCTCAACAGGCACTTTCAATTTGTGAACACCTACAGAAATTAGAGGGTTTTTTTTAAAATAAGCTGTCTTCTCAGTATACCAGTTTAAATAGCCCAAAATTGCCCAGGAATAGCAAGATTTTTTTCTTTTTGGATGTCAGTGCACGGAGTTTTAATGGCTGCATGCAACTAAACCTGGCAGCGGTACCCACTTCCTTTCGACAGACTGCTTTTCTTTGAGCAAGTCATTCAGCCTCTGTTCCAGACTGTCACACTTCTCAATGGTCTCTTTAAATTTGGTCTTCATGTTGTTAATCTGTAAAAACAAACACACAGGCATTTCAAAGAGATCAAAGTCCTCTGTGCTTTCATTATGACATTCATTTTTCTGGAGCGGTTTCTAGACTTTGACCAATTACTATATCCAGGTAAGCAAAAGCTTTGAGTCAAGAAAAGGTTTAATTCTGATGAAGACTCACTGCATTACACTTCACAGTTCCACACAAGGAACCACGTTGCCGTGGGAGCTGCTCACACAGAACAGCAACTCAAGCTGCAAATCTGTGCCAGGCACCCCATTCAAACAAAAGCTGCATTAGATCCTTAACTTCTTACTGACTGCAGTTAAGCATTCATTTAACCATTCTCTCAGAGGTTTTTGTATCCGTAAGCAAACTTAAATTTTCATCTTAAGGCTTTATACTGCTGGGCTTTTGCTCATTTTAAACTAAATCTAGAATAAGTATGGTCAAAGTCAGAAAATTAACGTGCTACTTTGCTCAGCACTGACTCGGCAGCTTGCTGTCATAAGGCAGTGACCTACTGACACGGATATCTTACTCATGCAAAACGCAAACAGAACCACACGTACATGGGCTTCCTCTTCCCCTCTACTTCACAACTCGAGACTGCTACTGCTGAAGAAAAGCCAGCTCTCATTCTCTAGGCACTGCACAGAACACGTCAAAATCTCCAACATAAGACTTACAGGAGACTTATAGACAGAAATACTTGTTTCCCCTATATTAGTGTCAAAAGCACGCCTGCATGTAGTGGAGACAGGAATTTAAAGGAAAAATGCTTTCCTGGAGGAGCAATCTGGATAAATGTCAGTGTCAGCACACATGGTGCCTTCACTGATGCCAGAGTCAGTGCAGAGCAGGTTTTAAGCCTTCCGGCCTTAATCACTGAATGTTTATGCAGCTGATGGTTAATTTGGGGAAGTAGCCTGAGCACTGATAATGGAATACACTGCATGGTGGCACTGATCCAGACCAGACTTACGTGGAGCAAGTGCCATGAATAAAACTGTAAGGATCTTTAAACATGAAACCACATTTAGGGCATACATCATAGTCGTTTCACTTTGAAATCAGTTTGTGGATCGCGTTTCCTGGTCCCGTGCAAGACAATTTTTGATGTATCTTTTCCTTTTATAGGGCCCTCCATAAGATTTCTGGGACTGTTCTTTAGACCAAGGTCAATGACCACTATTTCAATAATCATAATTTCTACATTTACAACGCTACTTAACTGCAGTTAGAAGTCATACGGAAAGTTCAGTTAAGGACTCAGCCCTAAATCCTGACTCACTTTAAACCTAGTTGAAAGGATCTATGTAGACCGAAAAGCATTAAAATATTCTCACTGGATTTTTGCTCACGACGTTTTGAAGCAGCCCTGCCTACAGAATGCTTCATAGGACAAGACTCTGAACTTTTCCCAAAGGGTGATGAGAGAGGTAGGGGATCAAAAAGAAAGGGCAAATCTTTATGCATGTGCAGCAGAAAGACAGCTTCCACTTTCTGCAGCAGAGCAAATTAAAGTCATATTGTCTGTGCTACACTAACCTTCCCTAGAGATACACGTCAGCGTGAGACGGATGGCATCGGCGAGCAGGGATCCTGCAGTAGCACGGACTTGTTTTCACCACTGCTGCAGTTTCCCGAGCAGCGCGTTTAAATCAACCTTCAATCTAGGAGGCAATCTACCTACTTCTGCACCACTGAGCAGCAAATTGCTAGATCTGAGCAGCGAGATAAGGGATACGTCTTGGAGCCAATTTTCTCAGCTGGTAGTGAAACAGGCTATGCGAGGCCACGTCACGCAACATTCAGGCTGTATGTTGCTCCATCTCCCATTTAACTTAACAGCGTTTCAGCAGAGTTTCTTTCACACATGCCCAGAGCAGAGCTCACCTCTTCAGCTGTATCCTTTTCTATTCGGACAATCTTGTTTTCCCAATAGATTCGCTGCGATTCCAGCTGGCTTGTTAGCAAGTATGAGTACTATAAACACAGAAGATACACACAGAACAGTCAGCTTTTACGTAAGGGTGGCTACGCTGATTAAGAAGCCCAAAGGGCTCCAATATACAAATCAATTTAATCAGATGAAATTGAGCATATAGGACATTCTGGACATACGTGAAAACTGCAGATCCAGCAGATGCGTTTCACCAATTTGATTTCAAAATCAAATCACTTCTTTTTTTTTTTTTGAAGTCAAGGAAAGCCTTTAGAACACAACAGCAAGGATCAAGTAAAAGTTCCACCAAGCCGTACCCAGCATCCTGCCAACAACTTTTTGAAGAGGAGACAGATTTTTCACACTAGTAGCGATAACTCTCTACAAATTTTACACTCCACAGGAAAATGAAGCATCAACCATCCCTGTCACGAGAGTCTGAGATCTCAAAGGCTGAGTTGCCAAGTTCCCCATCACAACCCAAAACCCAAGGCAGAAGGGTACGTGCACACATCTAGCTTTGCTGTAAGAACGTCTCTGGGAAAGCAGCCTCAGCTGTGTGTAACTATTCACAATTACTGTTCTCCAAAAAGTACGGCCCATTCCAAAGTTATTTTGGCAGCTGAACAAGGATATATGCCTTACATCCCATCTTTTCCCTGCTGGTTCTCGAAACAAGTTATGAGAAGGTTGAAAAACGTGATCATTTCTTATCATCACGTTAATAAGCACCCAGTTAGGCATTCACTACAGAATTAAACACGTGCAAAAAGCCTTGAATGCTCTCGGTAATATTAGAGTGCCAAAATACACTGTCAAATTCATTCTCTTTAGAAACATTCAGATCTCACAAGCGAGAGAGGTCTTGCATGCTTTAAAGCAACCAACCTCCCAAGAGAAAGGGTTAAAAATAGCTGGTTTAGCATCTAAGTCTCACTCAGAAAATTCATGGAAAAGCAACCAAATATTTATTTGAGCAATAAGCTTATGAAGTCTGGTCTCTACAGGCTCTTCCTCCTCAGATACACTGCAGCATGATTTCAGCTGCGTTAGACACTAGGGTATCTCCTCAGTGGAGCAGTAATTTTGAGTTTCTCTCCTTTACCCTTCCAGTTAGGATAGGAGAAGCTGGCCAACAGGTACAAAATAATCACTATCTCTTCAAAAGAAGGGAGAAGGACAGGCTGGTATCAGGTGAGCCTGTCAGCTTTCTTTGATAACCAAAGTAAGCACGGAGCTATGGATTCCTACAGACCAACTCAGTTTACAAGTTAAACTACTCAAACTGACAGTTCCATACATATCCTGGCTCTTAAGCCAAGTCACAGATCCACTAGGAAGGGCCTGCTGAGTAAGTCTGGGCATTTGAAGCCATTTTTCTCTCCAGTGACCTGCGTGTTTTTAGCAGCGTAACCAGCTAATCTTCAGTCTACCAGTGAACACAGGATGAAGCTGCAGTGAGCTTACACTTAGCTGCATTGGCTCTGCAGAGCCAAGAAAAAGGGTTTTTTGGTGGTTTTGTATTTGTTTGTGATTTTTTTTTTTTTTTTAAAGGGCAGTAAAAACATCCTGCTTCTGCCTAAAGATGATTGCCTACATGCAGGGAGCAGGTCTGCTGCATAAGCTGATGTAATTTTCCTGTAGTCATATCTGGATTTGAAACACTTCCACACAGCAGCACAATGCAGAGTCCAACCAGAGTCCAAAATATTTACCTCTAATTGTAAGGCATCAATTTTCTCTTCCTGACACATATCTCCCTCGCACTCATACTGAACTATCTTCCCATCAGTTTTACTTGCAACCAGTCGATGGACATAGTTATCTGAGGAGAGAAAATTCAACCACAGGGAGTTTTAGCTTAAGAACACCCAGGTTGACACCAGTGGAAATACTTTATGCAGCACAATTAACCATGCAGACTGCTGTAACAGCATATCAGCAAGGCAGAAAGCCAACACCAGATGTATTTGTTATTTAGCAGACTTTGCACAGACACCTTACAGGATATTTATCACAACAGCCCATTCCCATACCTCAGGGCAAATTGGTGGAAAGGGAGTAACAAACACATTCCACAGAGACTACAGGACCATCCCTGTTCATTACAGAATCATGTTCTCCCTCCTCCATCTGCTACAGACCCATGAAAACTACTATTAGAGATGACATAGATGTTCCCAAAAGACAAAGTATTAGTAGAGATGCAAACCCCTTCGTCTCCAAGCAAACCCTACCGCAAATACTCTTACTAAGGGGTCCCGAAAACTGTTTTACAAACAAGGTCATCCTACAAGAGGGAAAGACAGAGTGCTTACCTCCAGCATAGTCCCAGACTCTGTGGTTGGTCAACTGCATCGCGTAGGTGTGCTGGGTCTCCTCAAAGTGTTTGTAAGCGTGTCGACTCACGTACCGGCCACAGCCTATGTGCCCACATATTAAGCAGATCCAAAGGTTCTGTCAACAGAATGAGAAAGCTCTGTACGTATAATACTGTCAAGCAGTGGTACCAGCACTTTGAGAAAGCGTGATCTGACACCAATGGCCTGCTGATGCTGTGTACATCCAGGCACTTCCTTAGAAAGCAAACAACGTTTGCTTTTCGCCCTCCTTCTTTGAAGCCTTGCTCAGCTGGACAGCTAAAGAGAAGGAGGTACCTGCTCATTCAAGCCAATTACCAGCCTGTAGGTGCTGGGTATATTGACAGATCACCACAAGCATGGATGGAAGAATGGCTTTGACTAACGAATGAGGCACTTCAGCAGGACCACAAAAGCAAGCTCTGAAGAGCACAGAATAGCAGGGACCACCAAGTTCAGTGTTAGTTCAGCTGCCTGCTATCATACTCATCACACACACTCCGATCAGCTTATGTGCTAATACTTCTTTCTAAGAATCACAAACATTTGTCAGAACAGGAAACCTGGGAGGTAAGATCCTTTCCCAGTACTGATTCCAACTCAAAAGGAAAGCAGATATACCACTGACTGGTAAAATCAGCCACAGAATTAAACACAAAAGCAACCAGAGCAGCTGTGCAGCCAGATCTAGTCTAGATCTCACTCACCATCCACCCACCTACTTACTTCTTGAACTCCACACTCAAAACACTTGTTCTCTTCCACTGGCTCAGGCGTTTGGCAGTATCTGCAGACAGGACACCTAGAGGGCAATAAGCATCATGATTAGACACAAGGAGCTTCATCTTAGTATTACGGTAATTAAAAAGAGAGCCAGAGAGCTCAAAGAAAATGCCTTATGCAGCAAGACGCTCCTTACGTGTGTGCATCTCTCGGCTCACATTTACCCCACTCAAATTTGCCTCCGTTCCACACAAGGCTACTGTTTGTAAAGTCAGTAAGTGACAGAAGAATGAAGAACAGTTCTTCCAAAGCCATTTCACAGTCTCAGCTTGATCTGGTTTTGCTGCAGTCCAGGTGTAGAGAACATCTGCAACCAAAAGCCTCAGTGGGGCTGCCAGCAACCTCAGCCTCTGCCAGTAAGCAAAAAAGCCACGACCGAGCTCTAGAAACACTTCCCTGCCTCAGCCATAAACATTGCAAGAAGCACTTGTACAGATGTGTTACGCATCTCTAAACATTGCTCCTCCGGACCGCTGCCAACTGACATCTTCAGTTCTCCATTACCTGCAGGGTTTTATGCAGCAGCTACACACTGTGGTGGAAGGATGGTGTAACTAGACACTGCTGAGGACAGCTGAGTAACAGAGGGAGGTACCTACACTTTGCCAACATACCTTAGTACTTAAAGCAACACTAAGGAGATGAGGGGATACTTCAGTATCACCCTAACCCAATGGATTCAGTCAGCCCTTCCAGGAGGAACATCCTGTAAGCGTACCCTAAAAGAATCAGTAGCAGGCACCCCGCTATCATCTCTTTTCAAACTATACCACTGTGCTGTCAGAAAGACAGAAGACCCAAGACCAGAAGGAACCTTCGTCCAGACTCTAGGCACAAGAAGCTCATCTAGGGAGCGAGGTAACTGAGGCTGTGCATCCTGTTGCCAGGACTGTTTATGTATTTTTCATTAGCTGCTGGATAAGCTACAGAGATATTCAAGGGAGGAGACAACTGGATTGCAGTCAGCTTTCTATACAAATTCAGGCACTTACAGCCTCTGTGGCGCCTAAGCAAAGTGGACAGGGATTTTCCTTTATCGTTCTAGACTGGGAACATAAGTTCTGCTTAAATTGTATATTAGGTATTTAAGTGCTATTTTGGATCTTGCTCCTACACTGGCTAAGCTCCACCGCTTCAAATTTAAACTGGTTTTGATTTATGGAGCAAAGCAACGCATAAACTTGAATAGCTACAAATCTGATTAATCTTACCGAGGTTCTGTTACTTGGGCTTACAAATGATATACAGAGTGCTAAAATCTTCCTCACACTCCATCAGAGAGAGAATCAAGCAATCAGTGGTACCAGTGGCAGAGAAGAAAACACAGTAAAGATTGGCAGCCTTCTGCTGCAGTATCTATGGCTGCCTGATGTGCAGTAGACCAGCAGACAGTGTCCAGAAGGGTGCAAAATATGCACAGCTGACAGCAGCACCTGGGTGCCAGGCAGGGGCTCTGCAGTCAGGACCTCGGACACACCGAAATCCCTGTCTACAGAGACTTGAAGGATGGTAAGAGCAAGAACAGGAAAGGATTAGCAGTAGCAAAAAGAAGAGCTGCTTTAAGGACAGATGCAGGTCCGTCCCCCAGCACCGCCCAAGGCCACGGAGGGTCACCCAGAGGCAGAGATGCGGGTGCCTTACCCCAGCCAGGACGATGGCCTCCCATCACTCAGCCCATGCTCACCCTGAATGATACAGCCTGTCTACAGCAGCTGCCTCCCTTTCCCGATTCACTGAGTGATCTTGTCATCATCCCTTCCTTCCCTGCCTCCCTTCCCAGCCCTGCTCTTTCCTAGTTCTTCTTCATCCTCGCCCAGTGTCTAAGTAAGACAGCATGGCTGCAGGGCTCCCAAAAGGATTCCTAAGCTCCAGCCAAATGTGCAGACCTGTCTACAGCACAGCCTCACTTGTGCTGAGGAAACCAGCGACCAAACAGACACACCAGACCGAGTGAAACAGGGCTTTTTGTGCATCCAGTGCTGTCTGCCCCACTATATTTATCCTACAATATTTTAAAATAATCAGCATTACTCTACAACTCCCTTCCTGCCTTAGCAGTGAGGCCCACAGGAAACATTGTTCAATTACTTTTGTTGCGGAGATTTCTCTCTGGAAATCCCTTAAATGGC